GTAATTTTTCTGTAAGGCTCTGTACTCATTCTCACCTTTTTCTTTATCTTTTCTCAACATTGCACATTGTGATGAATGAAAATCAATGTCAACCCCCAACATAGCTTTGTCTTGTCTCATTTGCTCTAACTCTTTCGACCAGCCATCTCTTTCTGCTTCAAACTCAGCTCTCAAGATTTCAATCTCTGATGGAACCACCTTAATGCGATCTTCCATAGAGATATCCTCATTTTGATCTGGTAGAGGAATATTTTCGTTTTTTCTTACAGATCTCCAATCTTCATAATCAGGAGTTAGCATTTCTTTTGCTGCTTTAGCTCGAATACAAAAAGTTGTTTTCCAAGCTGTAACGGCTTCCATGATATTTCTTTTATAATTTTTGCTGTGAAATGCGAACTCAGATGACTGTAGTCCAGCAGTGACAGGTACAAATTGACGACCTTCATACTGTCTTATAACCAGCAGTGGTGCATATCCAATTCCTCCCCATAATCCGAGCAGCATTATCCAGTTGTAATCACCACACCTGTAAAAGAATTCCCTTTGTATTTGCCACGGGGCTCGCCAAACAACGTCATTGCTTTGCAGATTTCGAAAGGCATTAATCCACATATCTTTCTTAATTTCTTTAGGCCATTCCTGCTCTAGAAATTCTTTTAATGGTGAGTAATCCGTATTGAAGCGTCGGTATGAAACCTTTTCCGTCCTCCAGAAATGACTACGGATCCAAACATATAACAACTGGGTACACCCTGAGAATCGTCCACCTCCTAACCTTCTGCAAGCATTTAACGATCTGAAGGTCTCTGCTAGGATGGCAGAAACAGGATTAATCTTCTTCGGTAACTGTTCAAACAAGTCTACCACTGCAGCTTCAATATATCCCAATACTTTTGGGAAGATGACCATACCATATATACCCAGAGCAAATAAATCGAATCGTACTTTAATATCTGGATGGCTCTGAATAAGTTCTCTGATGTTGGTCCAAGCAATGCCTTCGCTTTCGCCTTTTTGTTTTGTACGGGATGCTACCCATTCTTCTCGTACCCCGGCAATCTTTGCTAATTTAACTCGAAAGGGTTGAGTTTTAATTGACTTTGAATATATTCGATTCTCCAAAGCACCTTCAAGATGTAACAAAGTTGTATATTCTTCAATAGTAGGGACCAAGTCCTCCTTATTGAAAGTGAAGCAATTGTACCCTGGATTCCAGAATTGAACTAGGGCTCTGAGTAATTCATCATCAACTTCAACATAGAGCAAATATGGGATGTCTCCGTAAGTCTGATAAAACTGCAATTTTTTGTTTGAATCCCAACTTTCCCAAATGCTTCGCAAATCTTGCATATCATTTCTTTTTAGTGAAACTGAAGCATAACTGACCAAGTCAGATACATAATCATCCTGCAGACTGTCTCCTTCTTGTCTTTGTAAATCTTCAGCCCACTGTCTTACTTCTGAGTTTAGAATTACTTGACTTGAACACTTTTTATCCATAGATGAAGGCTTTCCAATGAGACAATTAACACAAGGATCAATGTCTTTTATCCTGTATGATGCAATGCAAACAGAAAAATAAAGAACACACAAAAAAGAAAATAAATTAGTTTACATAAAAAATTCAATAATAACATTTATTTAATTTAAACATGCTTTTCTAAATTTAAATAATTTAAATAAACATGTAATTTAAACAATAAATAAATTAACAGGAAAGACATAATTCATTTCTCCTGTGTGTACACCTATTTTGGACAAAATTTCGGCATGACTTCTGATCGGAAGAGTTTCTAAGGTTTTTTATATGCAAGGTTTCAGATCTAGGAATAAAGGTACCCGAATTGTCTTTGTTAGTGCCCCCTTGGGTTGCTAACCCTCAATCCTAGTCCATCACAGACTAAAGTGGATCGAGTTCAATTCGAGGGGATACATTTCTCTATGCCTGACACGGAGAATAAATTCTCACGAAGACAGAGAGCATATGAACCCCGGAAGTTACTTGCTAGGTCTGACACGGAGAATAAATTCTCACGAAGACGTCGCTTTCACTCCCACTTAAAAGGGACAACTCAATTATAGAGCTTTATGTAATGCAATGCAAGTGTTGTGCGTGAGGAGAAATGTTCAAACCTTTGACAGAAAAAAATAAATAATGATATAAAATAATTGCAAATAAAACATATAAATATTATAAAAATAATAAGTAAATATAAAAATTTTGAAAAGAAAAAATTAAAAATTAAATATATAAATTTTAATTTTTTAATTAATAGAGACAATTTATAATTGATTTTTTTTTTAAAGTTTGACCAGATCCCAGCAGAGTCGCCAAGCTGTCGTAACCGGTTTTCGTCCGGGCACGAAATATTAAATTTTAGCGGGGAAATTAATGTTAATAAATAATTTTGAAAATAATTTGTGAGTCGCCATCGGCCTTTTGGATCAGGTAGGTCGAATACCTAAAATTATCTTTTAAAATAGTTTTTAAGAAAACCATATTTAAAAGATGAACTGATCTGCGTTTTATAACCAAAAATTCGTTCTTTTTAATAATAAAAAGGGATTCGTGGTCGGTTACGTTTAGGGAAGGATTAGCACCCCTACAACGCCCAAAATTGGTACTTTTTAATTATAAATTGTCTCTTTTATTAAAATTTAAAAATTCAAAAATATATTTAATTTATAATCCTATTATTTCAAAATTATATAAAAAATATTTATTTATTTTTAATATCTGAAAAGAACTTCTAGGTGCCTTAAGACAGCTCTTTTCTTTGATATTGATAAATATTGATTTAAATAATATTGTTTACTTTTTAATTTTAAAATATCAGAATAAGACATCCAGTTGTATTAAGACTGTCTTTTTCTTCGATATTAAAAATAAATATTTAAAAAACTATTTATTATATGTATATTTATGAATATATAAAAATATTTAACAATATAATAAATAAAAATATCACTAAAAAATATTTTAAGCATTAAAATGAAAACATATAAAATAAATAACTAAATTATAATAAAAATAAAACTAAATCTAATTCCTAATTAATAATTAATTGAAATTATAGGGTTTAAATATTTTATTTTTTAATTTAATAATTTAGTGACCAAAATGAAATTATTTAAAATTTAAATTTTATAATAGAATAAATTAAAAATATGAACTAGGGATAAAAAAATTATTTATTAAAATTAAGGGATTAAATCTGTCATTTATCCTAAATATATTATTTTAATAAAAAGGATTAAAATGAATAAAATTAAAATTCAAAGACTGAATTAAAATTATTATAAATTCAGTTTAGTGACCAAAATGTAAAATTTACAAATACGAAGGACTGCGGAAGGGATTTAACTTTTCCATAATTACACGCATAGTCCTTCCCGAAACGACGTCGTTCGGGAAGGACTATAAATGATCCATACCGGCTGGCCCGAAGGGCCAGCCATTTCATTTCATTTCTTCCCTCTCTCTCTCTTCTCTGAGAGAGAGAAATTTCTCTCGCTTATCTCTAACACAGAGAGAAGCCCAGCCGGCCGGCAGCCGTTAGCCGGCGTTCATCCGCCGTCATCCACCGCCGCCGGCCACCGTCTTCGGTGGCCGGAAAAATTTTTCTTTTATCTAAACGTAGATCGGACCGTCCTAATGACGGTTCCGATGTTTTTTTTCGTTAAACGGCTCCTAATCGGAGCAAATCTTGAAAAATACCTTCGGTTTTCGAAGGTTTGCTGTGGAGCGTGGAGGCGCGTGGTTACTCCGGTGGTGGTGTAGCTTTCCTCGGTAAGTCTCTTCTTCCTTTTTCTCTCTTTTTTCTTCTGGTTCTTTGCTGCTGAGATCTTTGGTACTAGTTTGTTTTTTGTTTTTTTTCTCTTTCTCTGTATTTTTTTTCATTTTCTGTTTCTGTCTCTCGTCCTCTTTTTTTTTTTCTTCGCAGGTGGGTGGTGGCTTTTATAGCCACCACCGGTGTTCGTCTCGGACCGGTCCGAAGAGGGGGCTTCGGTGAGTCACCGGACTACCAGTGGTGACTCACCCCGTAGCCTTGCATGGACGGCTGGTATATGATCTTCTGGAGTCTTCGGTTGGGATGTGGCAGCGGCGGAGGCGGCGAGGGCTGTCGGCAGCCGCGTGGAAGCTGGAGCGGCGCCGCGTGGCCCTAGGGTATCAAGCCCTAGGGTTTCCTTCTGGCATCATCTGGACCGTTGGATCTTATCAGATCCAACGGCTGTGAGCTGAGGCGGCTGATCAAATTAGAGTTAGGAAACCCTAACTGGAAACCCAAATATTTAGGGTTTCTGGTTGGATTTGGACCGGTTTTAGTTGGTTTGTAACTGGGCCGGTTTAATTGTAATTGGTTTGTAATTTATATGGATTTAATATATTTAATAATAATAGTAAAAAAAAATAATAATAATAATAATAAAAATAATAATAATAATAATATTAATAATGATAATAATAATATTAATAATAATAATAATAATAATAATAATATGGATAAAAAATAGTATCTTCAGTGTCTATATATTCAATGTCGATTATACATGAACTATTTCATAATTAGATAATCAAACTATGATGCTAAAGTAAAATAAAATTGCAATCTAGTTGTCTAGGTCTGGTGCACTGATGGGTCAAAAGAAGTATAAGGGTGTGACTTTTAAATATGAAAGCACATTGTTGATTCCATTTTTTTATCACCATAAAAGTGATAAATGTCCTTTAACATAGTTGATTATGCCTGACAGTCGTTTTGCCTGACCAAGAAAGCAGAACTTACTTGCGTGAAGTGTTAACCTATGATTCTTCTAGATGTCAGTTATATAGGTTGAACAAAGTTGAGTTGTTGTCGAGTTTGTATAACATTTCTGTAGATGCCAGTTATTGTTATTTGTTGGAACTGCTTCTCTCGCATTGTCCATTACCACAATCAAAGGATTTTATTAAGGTAGGAAATATAGAATATGATGATGAACAGAGGTGTTTAGTGGTATGACGTGTTAATGAGGTTTTCCAAGCTATTCTCCCATGAGTTTGCGGAGACAAATATTTCTGAAACTTTGTTTATTCTAATACTTTAGTAATACGAAATATTGGAGACAGTAGTAGAGATGATTTGCTTCGGATGTCACATTCAAGTGAAATCTCCAGTTTAACATGACAGCCCTTCTTCCACCATACTGCAATTCATTCTCAGATCTAGTCTAGAACAGCGATCTATAATTCTAACATAGATTTTTCAAAATGAAAACTTCACATTTGAAGTCTGATGTCAAAGAATATCATCGAAAACTTCAGTTATTCTAGGCTATGGATCATAAAATAATTACATACTAGAAGAACTATGTGGTCCTCATGATCTGCAATAATTCCACTTCAATAAAAGAATCTGATGTGAATTTATGGGTCGTGTTTTTGAAGATCATTTGATAATTTACTTGTGCAGGTGTCAAAGGAGTTCTCAATGCCCCATGTGTTGGCAGCCTATCACCCTGAAAGATCCAATCAGGTTGCGTTTCATCTATGTTTTATTTCCCTTTTTTTTTCTTCCAATGTTTTATTTGCTTGTTCTAGATTCCTCTAGCTAGTGAGTATTAGTCGCTAATTATTTCTCTTGCTTTGGCAGCCAGGAGTTGCTTGAGGCTGTTGAAAATGAAAGGAGTTTTAGGGTCAATCCGTCTAGAAATGCAACCATATTCCATCATCCGAATTTGGGGGATTTCGACCTACATGTATGTATTGCTTGTCATCTTGTTAGATTTATATCATCCTCTTTTTACATCACATTGAACCTAAAGCTCAAGGAGCCACAAACTCATGGTTTTCTTTCAACACAGCTGCCTGTAGGGGCAAATGAAGCTGAGCTTGAGGAGCGCATAATGCAGCAATTGGCTGCTGCAATGGGGCGAGCACGTCACATTGCAAGAAGGGAAGGTCCGAGGAATAGGTCATCTGCTCAAGCTTATCCGCAGTTCTTGGTAGTTTCATCTCATCCGAACGCTACCCCTACTGGTCTTTTATCTTCATCATCCCCAACTCAGAGAGAAGGTGAGCCAGCCCCTGCAAACACGGTTCGCACTCCATCCTCTCCGGAGAGAACCATGGGGGAAGAATCTTCAGCATCAATTACTCCTATACCTTCTGCCCAAGCTGAGCGACAGTTAGCCTCGGCATCTGGCTCCAGTGTTCTTTTGGTCAGTGATCAAGGGAATTCCTTGAACAAGACGTCTCCTAATCAATCTCCTAATAGTCATGATAGAGCAGGACCTTCAGAATTCCAGTCATTTTCAGAATCTCTAAAATCGAAGTTTAATGCTGCTTCAATGAGGTATTGGTCATACTCAAACATTTGAGATTATATCTAGGCCCTAGGGAACATTTCAACGATTTCTTTTACATGATATATTCTAAATTTGTGACCATATCTTGATTTAATTTGTATTTTTAGATACAAGGAGTCGATTTCGAAGAGTGCAAGGGGGTGGAAAGAGAGGTTTTTCTCTCGCGACACTTCCATGTCAGATCTTGGCTCTCAAGTTAAGAGAGAGGTTAATGCAGGCATTGCGACAGTCTCACGTATGATGGAGCGTTTAGAAACCAGAGAGAATAGAACAAGCACAGCTACTGTATCAAACAGTTCGGAAGACAGGTTTAACCTGGAATCAAATAGTCGACAGATTTCCGATGCTGGTGGAGAAACTCCTTTGACTGAAACCAGTGCACGAGCTTCACGTGCCACAAGTTCTGCTTCCAAATAAGCTTTGTATTCGTATCAGCATCACCCAACAATGTTTTAAGATCAAAAGGTAAGCAGAGGTGTAGAAATGTTGCTTGTTTTCGGTTGCAGCATATAAATGATTGTTTCTTATTTAAGTTATTGAAATCGACTATCACTATGATCGGTTCTACATAGTTATCATCATCTCTCATAATTCATATCTTCTTAAGTTACATAATGCACCTATACAGACACTTGAACATCGAATCAGCATGCTAATGAAATTATCCAACTTTCTTACACTTTGATTTTTCTTATCTTAATTCTTTTGCTTTGGCATCGACTTTGGTACGTCTTCATTTATTAACGACACCTCGTCTCCGATTGTGGATCAAATGTTGTATTTCCAGGTATTCTGTTTTTTTATGGATGTTTGGGAGACATATGAAGAAACCAGTTGGTGACTGAGAACTGATTGCAAGTGAATACGTAATTCTTAACTTTATTCATGGCTATATAATTTTAAGGTTCTCAAAGTGTTTGGCACACCTTTTGGTATTTTTCTACTTAATAATCGTTTCAGGCACTTTGTTCTCTTAAACGTTATTAGGATTTTCAACAGTTTTGTACTACCGTACAGCTTATGCATAAAATATAATTTGGGCTTCAAGAAATCGTATCATCAAATCAAATTTATATTTAGCGTTAGATTCAGTCAATGTCCTCCAATCGGTATATCTAGAGATGCAGATAGTTGGATTTAAATCCGATCTGGATCGGATAAAAATCGATCTGATTTTTTCACTAAGCCAAAAAACCGATTTATAAAAAAATCAGTTCGGATCATAACCGGTTTGGAGGGCCGGATGATGTAACCGGTTTCGGTTTGAAAAAAGTCGGTTTTTAAAAAAAATCGATTTTTAATCCGGTAAAAAAACCGGCCATCCTATTTTTTAAACCCCAAATCGGATTTTTAAACCCCAAATCAAAATTTTTTTCCGAATAAAAACCAGTTTTTTATTCGGTTTTTTTCAAACCGGTTTTTAATCCGGTAAAAAATCCGGTCGTCCAATTTTTTCTCAAACCGGTTATAATATCCGATTTTAAAATATCTGATCCGGTTTAAAAAAAATCGGTTTTTCCCAAATCCAGTTTCGGATATTTTTTGCGCAAAATCGGATATTCGGATTTTTTGTGCACATCTAGGTATATCCTAGAGATGCACATAGCCGGATTTAAATCCGATCCGGATCGGATAAAAACCAATCCGGTTTTTTCACTAAGCCAAATAACCGGTTTATAAAAAAACCGGTTCGGATCATAATCGGTTTGGAGGGCCGGATGATATAACCGGTGTAACCGGTTTCGGTTTGAAAAAAACCGGTTTTTAATCCGGTAAAAAATCCGGTCATCTAATTTTTTAAACCCCAAACCGGATTTTTAAACCCCAGACCGGATTTTTTTTCGGATAAAAAACCAGTTTTTTATCCCGTTTTTTTTCAAACCGGTTTTTAATCCGGTAAAAAATCCGATCTTCCAATTTTTTCCCAAACCGGTTATACTATCCGGTTTTAAAATATCCGATCCGGTTTAAAAAAACCGATTTTTCCCAAATTCGGTTTCGAATATTTTTTATGCAAAATCGAATATTCGAATTTTTTGTGCACCTCTAAGTATATCCAATCGTAGAAAAGTGAGTGAACACAGTAAAATTAGAGTGAATCAGTGAGCACAAGCTCTCACTTAGGACAGACCTTAGCAAACTCCTCATCTGGAACTTGCAGCTTCCTCTGTATTTAGACTTTTATTTGAATAAGTGTAGGGTGTACTATACTTAAACCCTGGATTTTAAGAAATAATAATTCCTTTATCACCGAGATCGTTTGATTCGTATAAATTATTTAAATTAGAGATATTTAAATAATATAAGTCCACCAATTGAAAAATAATAAAATTATAGTATTTTAAAGACATAGAGGGGTGTAAATGAATTTAACTTGAATGAAAAAAAATTGAATTCATGATTGTTTGTTTAATTTTGAAGGTATTCATATTTGATTTGTATTTATTTAAATTTGTAATATTATGTTCGATTATTTATTTTTAAAAGTGTTCATGCTCGTTCGTTTGCATTCGCGAACATGTTTCTTTAACGTTCATGAACATGTTCATTTAATGTTCCTGAACATACTCGTTTAACGTTTGTCAATATATTCAATCAACGTTTACAAACATGTTCGTCAAAATAGTTAAATTACACTACTATTCCATAAATTTCTTAAGCTTCACAATTTGAACTCTAAAGTTCACCATGTATTCAATTTAGTCTCTATCTCCATCAACACTTAAAATATAAACAAAAGAAAACCACAGAGAAACAAGTAAACGAGCTCGTACACTAATTAATAAACAAGCTTATGAATGAATCAATAAATAAATTTATTCATGATCATAAATAAATCAAGCATACCTCTATACGTGTATTAAATGAACATAATTTTTTTAAACATACACATTTATTTAACTTAATGATAATTCATCAAACTCTATGTTTATTTACAACCCTAAAGGCACGCAAAACTCAAAACAATTCAACTTTAGTAAACTACGTTTATAATCACTATATTATAAAATGCTGGGTTATCTCGTTGTAATCCCTATTATGTTGCTCAACAAGGCACGTAGGCATGTAGTTTGGGCATCAAGAGTAAATCCCAATGATGAGACTAATACAAACATATATTAGAGAGCATAATTGTATTAGAGATATAAAGAATAATAATTGTACCTATAATATATAAAGAACTTTAGAGTTTACTCGAACTACTCAACTAGCTCCTAAGGCAGGATGTGAAAAATTATTACATAATTGATGTACCAATGTCAAAATGCAATAGAGTTAAGAAACTTGCTCTAACACTGATCAATGGAAATCAAGATGACCAATATTAAAGGATATATGACTACCTTGCTAAACTGAGAGGAACAAATCCTGGGACAACAACCATATGCCATCTAGATAATAAGTTATTTGTCATAATGCACATTCGTCTCCAAGCCTGCAAGGATGGCTTCAAAGACTGTTGAAGACCAATCATTAGTCTTGATAGATATTTTCTTAAAGGTTATCATCAAGGTTATCTTTTGACAGCAGTTGGGGTAGATATAATATCCCTTGGTTTATGCTGCTGTTGAGAGTGAAAACTATTCTTCTTGATCTTGGATTTTACAAATGCTTGAAGTAGAATTCGAGCTGAAAAATTCCTATCATTACACATTCATGTCAGACAAACAGAAGGTAAAGTACCAACATTATAACTTAGTTTAAGATATACTTTATGTTTATATGTTAGTACTGATTAATTATTTAGTACATAATTTAGCGGAGGTAATTGCATAATTTTTTTCCCCAATGATGACCATAGGAATTGCCTAAATGATTTTTAATATTAGTTTGTGCATTCTGTCAGGTGTTGGCCTAAGCATGCAAGAGACATAAGTATGAGTTTCTATTGAATTTAAAGATCGGCATGTTGTAGACCTATAGTCTTATTCATGCAATAATAGAAAGTGAAACCTTACAGATATAATGCATTTACTTTGCAATTTGGTCTAATTTCTACCATGTCTAATGAACTGATCATTTGGACAAAGTTTTTAGACATACCTTGTATACATGTTACTTCGGCCATTTTCAAGAATCAAGAGAGGCTTGGAATTTATGTTAGTAGTTTCTACTTAAAAGAAACTCAATTGAACATATATTCAAATATGATTAGACCACCCAGAGGTTCAAAACAATGGGCTCATCATACCAAAAACGAGCCTATCTTACCCCATAGAATTAGAAGGCCAATGGGTATACCTAAAAAAACAGAACAAAGGGACTTGAATAATCATTGACATCAACTGAAAAAATAGTCAGGAAAAGTCTTGTTAGAATGACATAAAAATGTGAAATTCAAGGCCACAATAAAAGATCTTGTAAGGGACAAATTGGTGGCAATACACATGTTATGCTAGCAAAAAAAGGTTTCAAAAAGGGAACATGCCTTCTTAACAAAGCTTTATCAGTCAACACCATCAAGGGAGTTAAACACAACGATCAGGCGTCAAAGTAAGATGAATGATGTCTTCTCAGCAGAGTTTCACTAACTGGCCTCAAGTCCAAGTTAGTGGAAGCACACAAGTCATTGGAGACATACATGTAACAACAATAAGAGTTATAAAAATACATGCAAGTGCATTAACAATTAATTTTGGTGTTGTGTATTTCATTGTCAATTAATTTAGACAACTTGTACATTCCAGATTAGGATACCAGTGGTAGCAACTCCAAGCCAGTACCACCAAGTGAGTCAAACACAACCTTAAACACAAAGACCAGACATGACAGTAAGGTGAATGATGCCTTTTCAGCAGAGGTCTCTCACCCAACCTCAAATGTAAGATCCTACTTCAAAGAGTCTAGACGGAAATGAATACGAACCAGATTAATTTGTCAATCAACAACCTTTTGTGACAACTATTTTGTGTGTAAAATATATTTTTTTAGATGTAATTTTTTTGAAAATATGTATTGTGGTGAGGAAGTCTATTGTGTCTAGTCTATTTTGGTAGAACTTGTAGTTGAGATTTTTTAGAGAACATAGGATTGAAGGTTGTTATTTACATATGTATGAACATATGACTAAATTAATGAATGCATTATTTTATTCAATTACTTATGTAATTTATATATGTCTTTGAATTAAGTTTATGAGGCAAGTATGTAGATTTTATTTTGTATTGTTAAACCTTATCATAATAAGACATTAAAAATAACATAACATTAACATTAACAAATCTATAAAATAACAGACCATTAACGTCATTAACATCAAAATCTACATTATTAACATCAAAATAACATAACATTTAAAAAAGATCATGCTAATCTTCATATTTTCATTAGCATAATTTACATCAAAATAACATCATTAATCGTCTTCAAGTTTCAATACAATACTACACTACTTATTGCATAAATCATCCTCAAATTTCAATGCCTACTACATAAGCTACCAAAAATCATCCTCCAACTTCAATACCCATTACATAAGCTATGAAAAATATTCTTTAACCTTTATCCACGTAAAATGAAGGTAAAATAAAGCAAAGCATATAATAGCAAAAATCCAAACAAATCTCTCATTTCTTATCATATTTTCAATTGCTTTGATGTTTATGAGCAGCCTAACCACAAGCACCTTTGCACGAGGAGTCGTCGGTGGCTCATGCCATTGAAAAATATTACACGATCGACACCACCGATTACCATAATTATTGAAATAAAAAAAACGTCTCCCAGAATTGTCGTCCGACCATGCTGTCTTCAACACCACTGGAATTCCACACATGCATATTGAAATCAGATTTGCCTCAGTCATTCTGGAGTTCTCTTCGACGGCCCATTTTCTATTTTGTTTGATTTT